CTGAGTTAAGTAGAGTCTTATTTATGGAAGTCCACTTTTCTTGGCCATTTTCTTTCCTTTTGAAATTGTGAAGTTTCAATTGATCTTTATAGTTACCAGGAAAAATGGAGGCACAAAGACATATTTTGATCTCACTCTTCTGAGAGCCCAGTCCTAGTAAACAGCATCAATAATCAATACAGATGGGAACACTGCTCAAAGAATGAGTCATTGCCAGTCCAGGAGGCATTAGATGCCTACAGAGTCTGGCGGGTAATGTAAATGAGCCAAATATATAACAAGAGAGAGGGGAAGAGTGTAGAACATATGCTGTGGTTCAAGGAGGCAGTGGATACTTTGTTTCAGGTGAATGTTGTTTGGCAGAAATGTGGCTTCAGTGTTGCCAGATCTCCTAATTTTCCAGAAATGAGAAAGCCTACTTTTTGTATAAAATCTCCTAATATTAAAAATATTCTCTAAGCCAAGTGTTACCTAACTGTAGGCTGATTTTGATCTGTGGGAAACCGGTATGCAGTAACTGATGTAGATCATCTTTTCTGGGTTGAGCACATATGAAGGGTTACCTGATCTTATCCAAACTCGGTCATTTGGAATATAAGATCATTAATTGCTTTTCTTCTTTAATTTTTCTTTTTAAAATTTTCAAACATAAATGAAAGTAGAAGATACAACAAACCTCCATTATTATCCAGCTCAAGAACCATCAATATTTTGCCAGAAACGTTGATTTCTGAAGCAAGGAAAAACCTTAAAAAGTGTTCATATATTTGAGTACCTATCTTGTACCTGGACAATGTGGTAAGTGCTGCATTATCTAGAATCATTACAAAGTAGATATCAGCCCTATTTCATATAAGAGAAGTTGAGCACTTGCCCAGCCTTAATGGCAATGGCAGCCGGATGGTGGCCAACCTGACACTAAGTCCAAGCATCTGGGTGTCCAGACTTATCTCTTCTTCCTATTGGTCTCCCACAACTTCTATACACATGCAACACCTTTCTACAATTAGCATCTGGATACTTTGCCCATTCTGGTGGAAAGGCACAAGATGCACTCAATACCTGACTCTACATGCATGAAGTTGAATCCTATAAAGTTCCATTTTTGCTAGTCTATTCTTCCATAAAGAACAAATTATGCATTTAGTTACCTGCTTTACTGCATCTTCATAGGATGGAGGCTGTGTTATCTCTGAAACTGCTGAAGTTGACTTAGAAAAAGTTGGGGATGGAATTGAAAACTTTGGCCCTGCCTTATCAGAAGAGTGTAAACCAGCCATCTGTGTCAGTAAAATGCAGAAAAGACAATCAATTCAAGGGTGAGAAATGGTACTGCTTCTGTTTTAGAAATTACAGGCTAAATTTTGGAAAAATTGATGCAAGGGGAAAAAAAGCTAGGGCTTAGAAAACAAATCCAATATATTAATAAAGTACATATCACTACAGAATTATTGCTGGAGGCCTCTTAAGATGGGAACCTCACAGATTCATGTCTCCTCCAAGGTACACCTTCTTCCGTTAGCAGAAAGCAAGATGAGAAAAGGAAATAAAGTAAAAGATTCCAGTCCAGTACAAAGAAGTCCATCAACCCAGGTATTTCCAGAGTAATTTATCCCTTACGCTACTTTATTCTAACTGTATTTGCAGAGAGTTGGAGGCACTGCTGAGAGATCTCTTCAAGAACCGGCCTTGAGTATTGTGAGTGTGTTCTGTGGAGTGCCTGGGCCATTTCAAGATCTCTGTCCCCAAAGGACGCCCTGACCTGACTTGTGTTGTGTCATGGCCCTGTTATGTTTGGGCGCCCTGACCTGACTTGAGGTGTGTCATGGCCCTGTTATGTTTGCTCTTTCTTATCACCTCTTTACTGTTCCTTGAAACTCCCATATCCCTGATTCTTCCACCTGCTGATATGTGTGATTTCTTCCTTTTTCTGCGGAGTTATTGTATTATAACCCCCACCTCTCTGGATCCCTCCAGTCCTTTCCAAAGATCCATGTACTTCCCTCTTTCTCCAGCATTGTTTTTCCACGCTTCCCTATTCTGGTCTTCAATTTCACTGAAACCTGTTTCTTCACCATGTAATTTAATAAACATAGCATGACCATTTTAGTCATCTTGATTTGGGGATGACTCCTCTTAAACATCTGTACATTCATTTCAGGCCTTTTCAAGGCAATTGTTTCTATCTAAAATGTTGTTTATTTCTTCCTGCGAACCTCATCATAGGAGGACAGGGATCACAGAAGAGAGAAGAGGCAAAGTCAACTATACGTTTAAGCCTTTTTACAAGTGCCTACCTTTTGCTGTGCACTTGGGCTTTTGGGACAAGAGTTGCCCCCAGCACCATGACTGCTTTCTGCCTGGGATCCAGAAAAGGGAGGGTGGAGGCTGGAAGTCTGGGGAGAGAAGCTTGGAGGATGGCCCTCGTGTGCCCCTGAGTTCTGTAGAAAGAAAGAAGCCACACATGACTACCAGTGGCATACTTGAGAGCAACTTATGTTGAGACTACTTGTCCTGGTATCTTATCTTTTCAAACCTTCTTAAATTCTATCACCAAAGTTTCAAATCTCGCTTTGTATGTATCACCTATTGCCCCCAAATGTTCAGTGGCTCCCACACATCCACAGAATAGGGTCTCCGCTTCTGCCCAGGATAAGTGATCAAGACTTTCCACAGACAACTACTGTGTTCCTTTGCAAGCTTAAATTCTACTAATCCCTCTATGAGCTTCCTTCTGCATACCCTGTACACCTACCTCCCTATCCTTTTTCACATGGAATGCCCTTTTCCTGACTCTCCTTTTTTAACTCTACACTTCTTCTGAAGTTCAACCCCTTCCCCAAACCTTTCAAGACTCTTCTAGCCCTTCATGATCAATCTGCCTCCCTTGTCCCCACCACAATGCTTTGTGCAGCAGTTAATGTCATAAGCACAGATTGGTAATGTTATCCTATATTGCTCTTTATCTTTTTATCATGTAATCATTCATGTTTTTAAAGAGTGCTTTGTAAACCATAAATCACTGTACAAATATCAGTTATCCTTGAGGGTATCGATGTCATTAGAACTGAATGTTGTAAGGTCCAGAGCTATGTTTCAAGAGCTAGTTTTACCTTTGTTGCCTAGGACATTATGCATTCAATAAATCTCATCAATAATAATGCATTTAAGTCTCAATTCCTCCCAAAGTGCCCACTCAGGGGTGGGCACCATTCATTTGAATGTGTTGTTCGGGTAGATTTGTAAAAATGTATTCTCATTACCTATGGCCACACCGCATATTACCAGGACAGAGAATATTCAGTGTGAAAAGGGCACGTACTTTAGAATCAGATAATCTAGAGTTCGTGTGACCCTGGGGATCCAGCTTAACTTTCCTAAGCCTCATTTTCCTCAGTGGCAAATAAAGAGTAATGAATCGAAGCTCAAAAGATTGTTGTGACAATTAACAAGATTACTCATATACATTCTTCTTTATACTTGGTTAATATGAGTTTTCTTCCTATTCCCTTTCTAATAATATAGATCTCAGAATCTTTTAATAATGTAATTTTCTTTCTCAGATAGACTTAAATAGATGTTCCTAATAATTCTTTGACTTTGCAGACAAAGTAAAGACTTTGATAATTACCTTGGTCTAGTCTTCAAACTAGTTACTCTTCTGAGCCATTTCCTACAATTCTCCTCTCATTCTGCTCTAGCCACACTGGCTTTCTATCTGAGGCTTGAACATTCCACGCATGCTCCCACTTCAGGGCCCTTGCATTTTCTATTCTTTCTTTGCCTAAAATGCCCTCACCCCCAATATTCACAAAGCTTTCTCTTTTACCTCTTTCAAAACTTTACTAAAATGTCCCTGGCCCTTTTACTTATTTTTTCTTTAATGTCAGTTTATTTATTATTTTTTTCATACTATATGTACATAATTTTTTTAACATATTATTTTTTATTTTCCTCCTCCCCCCTCCCTTCTAGTTACCACTAGTCCATTGTCCATGTCCATGAGTCTCTGTTTGTTTGTCTTGTTCATTTGTTGCTTTTAGGTTTATATACCACATATAAGTGATATCATGTGATTTTCAACCTTTCCTGGCCCCCTTACTTAATTTAAGGCTGCAAACTTCCAAACTCTTTACCTTCTTTCTCTGCTTTCTCTCCATAAGATATATCATTTTCTAATACGTTATATATTTTATCTAGTTTTTTAATTTACTGTTTTCCCATGAAAATAGAGATATTTATTTGGCTAGTTCAGCACTAGTCCCAGAGACTAGTAAAGGGCCTGACACACAATAGGTGCTTAGTAAATATTTGCACTCTGTAGACCATAACACGAAGAGACAAGTAAGGTCTAGTAACTTCCCCTTTGGCTCTCTTGATGAATTGGTTTGGCATCTGGTAAAGCTTGATACTAAGGAATCCTGAAAATAGGGGTTGGCAATCTACAGCCCTGTGGCCAAATCTGGCCCACTGCCTGTTTTTGTAAACAGAGTTTTATTAGATCACAGCCACGTGCATTTATTTATAAGTCGTCTATGGCTGTTTTCATGATACAGGGTAGAGTTGAGTAGTTGTGACAGAGACCACAATGTCCGCAAAACCAAATATATTTACTATCGAGCTCTTTGTAGAATAGGTGTGCCTACCCCTGTCTCAGAGAAGTGAGCTGGCCTACTGTGAAGGACTGTGGGTCTTGGTGTTTCCTGTTGGACTTTTAGTAAACCCTACCCATGGAAAGTTCCAACATCAGCTCTTCAGCAGTGCAAATCCATATCCCACCTCCAGGAAAAAGGGTATACTGGGCATAGGGCAAAGGAGTTCTTACCTGTGTGGTACACACCTGGCTGCCAACAGGTGAAGAGACCCTGTGCCCTTCTCCTTGAGCGCCTGAAGATGAAGGTAGGAAGTAATGGTTGTTTGGTGATGGGGGCAAACTGATATGCTGTGGGCTTTTCACAGCCCCAAGTGGCGAATGCTGAGGGGAGCACTGCGGGCTGAGAAATGTGGAAGAAAGTACGTTGGTTTGACCTGAGGACTCCATACAGTGAGTGCTCCCACGGGGCAGGAGTTGAGCAGCTTCACAGGCCTGCAGTTGGCCATCTGAGTTGCTGCTTTGTCTTTTCACAGATATTTGTTGGGATGCATAAGGACAGCTGGAGACAGCATCTTCCTGCTTGATGGGGGCACCCAAGAAAGGCAGGGGCTTCTTCTCAGCACAGTTATTTCTTTTCTGCTTCTGCAGCTGCATCCGCAGCTCCTCAACGTGCCTTTGTTCTTGCTGGAGTTTCCAGGTGAGCTCGTTGATCACCTTCTGCTTCTCCACCAGCATCTTGTCTTTCTCGGAGTCCAGCCCATCCAGCTCAGAAGGAATGGAACCCCCATTCAGACTGCTCATGAGGCTCTCCTCGGGGCAGACATGAACAGGGGATGGGTGCAGGCCAAAAGAGGGGGATGTGTCATTGAAGGTGTCAGGCAGGGACCCTGCCATTGACAGGTCGGAGGAGGCGGGTGAGATTGGGGGACTGGAGCTGGTGCTACCGAAGTGGTAGAAGCCATTGGATAAGGCACTGGTAGAAGGGGAGGACTGGTAATTGGGCAGCGCACTGGTGGGCGTAACAGGAAAAGTGACAGTTGTTATATCACCGAAGTTAGGCACAGGGTTCCCAGAACTGTCCTGGAAGGGCCGAAGCCTGTCCATGAGGGCCGTCTTGGTGCCTGACACTGGCAAGCCCCGTATTCGAAGCTGTTGTCTTAATTCAGAAACCTAAAGAAACCAGGGCCTAGTTAGTGTGCTGTTTAATGACAATCTTTTAAAAAGTGTATTTATTATTATATTATTTAACATCACAAGTGAAATTTTATAATGTCTTCTCTTTTTAATATTTCTTTCCAATTTCTTCCCCTGCACCCAACGTAAATCAGTTTTGTACAATTTTAATTCTTTAGAAACTTTTCATGGTTGCACAATTATAAAAATACCCTAGAAATGTAGAGCTCAAATGAACCATAGAAGGTACCTAGTCTACTGGCCTCTAACTCCCTTCCCCGTGCCTCCTAGGTGAGTGCTTTCCCCACATGTTCTTTTTGTGGGTGGTCCTCAAACCTAAGCAGGCACCATAACCCCTGACCATGGGTTACAGCATAGACAGCTGGGCCCCAGCTGGGAATTTTTGATTCAGTGGGTCTGGGGTGGGGACCGAGAATGTGCATTCTTGACAAGTTCCCAAGTGATGCTGATACTTCTGGTCTTGGACCGGTTATTGAAAACCACAGTTCTATATTAACATTTATGTCCTAAATTTAACAGCTGGCTGGATAATAGGTCGTATATTGAGAGATAATATGTGTGGAGATAAGACCATTGATTCAAATGCTAGCCCTGCCTCTTACTAGCTCAGTGATCACTCTGTGCCTCAGTTTCTCTTGTGTAAAATGGAGATAATCATACATCATATACCTTACACATTAAAATAGCTGAGGATTAAAATAGTGAGGATTAAAATAGCTTAAAATTTGTAAAGTACTTGGAATAGTCAGTCATAGCTGGTTAGTGTAGTATAAAGATTTGTTATTATTGTTGACATGCATGTAGTTATTTCATCCTGCATTTTTATAATCATAAATTTTATACATCAGATATCTAAAAATATAAAAACTAAATAAATAATTGTGTATATAAATAATGGACTACTTTAGATCTATTAAAACTGATGCTAAAAATATTTGTTGATATAGAATAATAAATATTTATATTATTACATTTTAGAAATTTGAATTGCTTGATTTTGTTTTTCTAAGAATTATAAAAATATAAATATACCTGTATATATATTTAAATCTATGCTTGCAGATGAAAATTTCTGGATAAATATGTGATAAAATGTTAACATGGTTCTCTTTATCTATATTTTCTGAATATTCCACATAAGCATACTACTTTTATAATTAAAACAGGAAGTATATGAAGTACTTAAATGTCAATAATGCCATAAAACAGCTAGAAAAATCTATAGAAAAATATTCTTCCAATATTCTGTAAGGAAAGATCCTTTGAGCATAAAAGCATAGAAACTAATCATAAAAATATTGACAACAAAAATTGAAAACACCTGTAAGTCACTAAAAAGAAAATGCAAATGCAAATAAGAATCTCAGAAAAAAATAATTGTAGGAAAAATAATAAAGTATTAGTATGTTCAATATATAAAGAATGTTTAACAACTCAAAGAAAAAATTTGACACCCACCATGAAAACTGGTAACGGACATCATCCAATTCTTCACAAACAAGATAAAAAAAATTTTTTTTAATGGCCAATAATGTATGTGTATCAATCCAAGATATGCATACACAACATGTACGTATTTTTGTATTCATCAAATTGACAAAGAAATTTATAATAACTCTTCATGTTATTAGCAGAAAAAATAAATAAATGAAAATGTAAAAAAAACAAAACTCTTTAATACTTTAATACCTTGCTATTCCAGGTGTGGTCCTTGGACCAGCAGCACTGACAGCATCTTGGAAGCTTGTTAGAAACAGAATCTCAGCCCCATCCCCCGACCTACTGAATCAGAAGCTGCATTGTACCAAGAGTCCCAGGTGATTCAGTGTGCATATTCATGTTTAAGAAGTGATGCTTTAACGTACTGCTTCTAGGACTAGATTGGCACAAATGTTCAGGACAGAAATTTGACAATATATATCAAGAACTTCTAAAAATATTAATATGTTTTGGTTCAAGAATTCCATTCCTATGTACTTAGTCTGAGGAGATAATCAGAAAAATTAATAAATGTATGTACAAATTCTATTTTTAATAGCAAAAATTTGGAAGCAAGTTAAATGTCCAACAGAGGACTGTTAACTAGGTGGTGAAATGATATGCTGTTATTAAAAATAAAAAAATATTGAATATTAAGAGTTATAAAAAATGGTCATGATCTATTAAACAAAAGAGCATGCCAGAAATTTATGCTCACGTAATTATTTTAAAATGATTATTTTAAATAAAATATGTCCATATGCATTTCAAGTCTAGAAATATAACCTGTAATGCTATCTGAGAGTCAATTGTCCTTTAAGATACTCTTTACTTTTCTATACACTTATATTTCAATAATAAATATTACTTTATACTCAGCTAAAACCTACTTCAAAAGGACTGCAACAATTTATACTACCACAAGCAATAAATATGCTATCTTCCCCCATCCCCAGTCTTGCTAGCATTGTTTCATTATTTTTTTTAAAAATTTGCTGGTTTAAAAAAGTGCAAAATGGAAACTCATTATTGTTTTAATTTTGAATTACTTAAAATTAATGAGTTCTACATTTATTTTTAGAATTTATTCTGGCACTGAATAATTTAAAGTACATTATTAAATAATGCAACTCATATTCTAAAATGAATACTTGTGGAGTTCAGTTTACCTTAAATTTCAGAATATTATGCTATATGGACTTACTGGGGACAAAGTTTTGTATACACTTCTTTCCTATACTCATTGGTGTTTTAATTGTTGACAACTTTTAAAACTATTTATTATGGAAAATTTTGAACATACACAAAAGTAAATAGAAAAGTATGATGAATCCCATATATCATCAACCAGCATTGAAGGGAGCAGGTATGTTCACACATTAGAGAAGTTCAAGGCGCGGCTTTCATTTTTTTCAGTTCTTTTGTAAGTGCTGGGTGAGTACATATGCCAGTCTTGAGGATCGCTTTGGAACACACTAGGATCAACTCAAAGCTCAGCGTCATTTCAGTGAGCTGAGGTCCATGTGGTCTTTGATCCAGAGTAAATTGCTAGCACATATATATCATGTAACAAGTTGCTGCTGCATTTCAGGAAAGACATTCTCAGATTTGAAGATTTCATAGACTAGTACATCATTTTAAATGGTATAATTGACATAAAGTTACCAATATTCCATCTTGTTAAATAAAGACTAATAGCCTTATTTAATAAGATCTCTATTTAATAAAAAGAAACAAACAAAACTCTACCAGAAACACTCAACTTCCATCTACTATCATTATCATTTCCTAATAGAAAGGATCTTTTATCATTCAAAACATTGGGAGGAAATAAATTCTTTGAATAAAGAACAGTCAGATATGTTGAACATATGTGAGATTTATGAAAAACCATTTACATGGTTTTTGTTTTTCTCATTTCATCAGAGACTGGTAAAAGTTCATCATGGAATTGACCACTGGTTTAGAGCATTCTGGAAGTGCATATCAATCTCACAGCTACTCTCTGTACTAAGCTCTACTATGTACATATGATTCTCTTTAATTCTCATAATGGCTAATCTATGCAAATGAGGAATCTGAGATGCAGAAAAATTAATAAATTAGCCCAAGTTTGCATAGCCAGTGAAAGAGCTGAGTTGGGAGCTACAGTCTTCTGCTCCATTGGATATTCAACTGCAGCAGTTAATATTCTGTCACCTATTTGAGTCTCTCCCATGCTCATCTTGTTCCTTCTGTTCTACATAAGAAATCAGTTGGTGAAAATGTTGTTAAAAATGTACTGATGAATTTGTTAAAAAGAAAGGAAAAGAAAAGAAGATCACGCCAAATCCTGTACCTTCAGATCATCTAGGTTTGATGGAAGTAGACCTGGTTTGAGAGAAGAGATACCAGTTTGTCCAGAAAAACTGTTTTTGACAGGAGACAAAGGGGTATTGCTCAGTGGTGTAGAAGAAGAGTTTGGATTTCTGATCATCTGTTCATTTGGTTCTCTGAAAAAAGAACAAAAAAGAAACACTTAAAATATGGTCAACTGTATATGGGGGGTTGATATAGTGATTTATAGTAAGAAATATATATATGCTCTTCATCCTGGTTTCTGACTCGCAGCTCCTAAAACCCTTGGAATTTCCTAAATAATGAGAGTGACAAAGGTGTCTTTTGTTATGAAATGACTTGCGGATTCCATCTAATGAGGGATGCTGGTTGCCAGGAGAACCAATCATGTGATTAGAGGGTTGAAACTTTTAGTCCCACTGTCTTCTAGCCCTTTGACCTCCAGGGAGGGGAGAAAGATTGGAGATTGAGTTCACCAATTGCCTCTGTTTTAATTAATCATTCCTCTGTAATGAAGTTTCCATAGACATCCAAAAGGACATAGATCAGAAAGTTACTGGGTTGCTGAACACTTGGAGATGTGGGGAGAGTAGTACCTGGAGAATGTATGGGAGCTGCATTCTTTTTCACTGTAGCTTGCTCTATGCATTTCCTCAATGTGGCTGTTCCTGAGATATATCCTTTTATGATAAACCAGTAATCTGGTAAGTAAAATGTTTCTCTGAGTTATGTGAGCCACTCTAGTAAATTAATCAGACTCAAGGAGGAGGTTGTGGGAAACTTTGATCTACAGTTGATTGACCAGAAGCCCAGGTGACAACATCTGGACTTGTACTTGGCAACTTAAGGGGCTAGGGATGGCTGTCTTGTGGGACTGAGCCCTTCCACTGTGGAGTCTGATGCTATTTCCAGGTAACTAGTGTCAGAATTGAGTTGAATTGTTAGACCAGCTAATGTTGATAATTGTTTGGTGATGTGAGGAAAACCTCTGCCACACACCGGAATTGGGTGACCAGAACCTACAGGGGTTGACTTGTATTTAGACCAGATTACAAGTTAATTGTCTACAAGGATCAGGTGAGTAATAAGTCAGCAGAAGAGGCAGGGTGAGGAAAACAACAAAAGGCTAGATAGAAAGTGGCAAGTGACACTCGAGCTGTGTTTGGGGGAGATAGGAGGGAGTAGTGGAGCCTTTGGAATACGAGCATATCCATTCATTATTTAGCAGATGTGCTGTCCTGTGGAGGCAGGAGCACGCCTGATGAAGCTTCACTGTATGCAGCACCCAGCACAACTGCCAGCACCATCCGAAACTGAACAGAAACGGGTAAGGGAACCCGCATCCCAACTTTATCGTTGAAGAGATTGATCATTGAAAAGGTGGCCTGATGATGAGGTCACCACACACTGGGGCTCAGGAATCATCTCTGGGGATGTCACTCAGTCACTCAGCTCTGTTGCTTCCTATTATATAAGCACTGAGCCAATTCAAAAAACATAACCTGTGTTGGAGTTGTTCACAATTCCAATATACATTCTTAGATGGTTTCTCCTGTCTGTTCCATAATTCAGCCTGAAATTGCTAATACTTTCTCATTTCCCAAAGAAGCCTCTTATCAGGGGCATTGATTTACTTGCTTCCTCCAGCCTTATGTTCCTAAAAAAGTGTGCATGGTTTCTAAACAGAAACCATGGGACTCGCTAGGTCCCAAAGTGTGGGCAAGTGTGCCTCAGACAGAGAAGTCATCCCCAGCCTGTGCTCACAGCCACCCCCTTGGGCAATCCTGACTTACTTGAGCTGAGCTTGGTGAATGCCAGGGTAGCTGAACCGGTGCTGTTGCTGCTGCTGCTGTTGGCTGAGGATCTGGAGCTGCAGGAACAGCTGCTGCTGCTGTAGCAGCCGGGCGTAGGCTGAGTCCATGGGTGGGGGAGACTTCTCTGCCTTCTGGTCTGGGGGAATGTACTGGTGATATTTGAGTTTCTTCACCTTCGGCTTGGGGTCCTTGGGCTTTTTGTGGCGGTTCTTACTGTCACTCAAGGACTTGGACTGCAAAAAGGATGAAGAAATGCATGTGCTTTAGGCGATGGATGGGAATGACTTGGAGTTATGGGTGTATCGAAAGGAGTTTTTGTCTGATGGATGTTCTCGAATCTTGGAAAAAGGATACGGCAAAGTCATGATGTGCAAAGAGATCCTGGGACATTAAGATATCTAATGAAGAAATCTATTTTGAGTATATCACACTGAAAGGACATTCCTTAATATAGGAAATCTTGAATCTTAGAAGTGGCTCCAGGAGTATTTCCTTCCCGGAATAGAGTGAGGTGTAAGCCTGTGTTTCAGTGAGAAAAGTTTCCTCAATCCAAACCAACCAATGGCCTAATAAAGGATGCATTCTGATCTTGGGATAGATTCATAAGAAAGTTCTTTCATATGTATACATGTAATCACCTTTAGTTAAGCACTTAGTAAATTGACTTAGTAATGACATAAACTGAGATGAAATTAAGCTTGCCTTTAAAAATTCAGAATGTGAAGTTTTGTTGCTTCAGGCTGAAAAGCATAAGACAGACTATCTCTCCCACCACCATTCCCAAATACTGATATACATTCTGGAAGTGACCTCCTCTAAACTAATGCTACTTTACTTACTATGGGAAGGGATAGCCACACACTGGAACCCCTCCAGAAGTTATGCATTGCAGAGCATCATTTGGACACACTGGAAAAAGTTAAGGGCACAGGCTAGGAATTTAAGAGAAATTTCTGAACTTGATACGATTATTTTACCACATCTTAGTTTCCTCACCTGAAAGCTGGGGAAAATATTCTACACTTTCTATCTCAATGAGCAATGTAAGGATGTGAAAAGATAATATTGAAATAATAACAGGTCTCAGAGGACCGTGTGATTATATCTATAACCTGCTCCTTAAATCAAAAGGCGCCCATATATTAGAAAGCAATAGGTCCATACTGTAATCAGTTGAAGAAATATAAAATTTCAAACCTTTACTTATTCCATAAGGTTGAAATGAAAAACATGGGTGTCATGACAGAAGATTCTTGAGGACTGGGGGAAAAGTTGGAGAGAAAGTGTGATACCAGCAGTGTCCAGGAGAGGGGGCTCCTGAATAGCTGGCAGGCTTGTTCCGACTGGGCAGCTTCCCCATTTTAACCACAAAATACGCCATCTGAAATGTGACTTATCCAAAAGAGCCAACAACTTGCTTTTCTCTGACTCAGCACATCCCACCACCGAAGCCTCATTTGTGTTTTCCCAAGGAGGTTTCTTCTTGGAGACTAGTGAATAATGAGTACAAGTATTCCCATGTGCTCAGTGGTTCTGTTTCTCCCTGCTGTTTAATTGATCAGCATTCTAGTTAATTATATCAGTCGTCTGCACTTGGGAGAATTTCGGTGGGGCCCCTGCAGTCAGCTCTGCCCTGCTTTGCTCCAGCTCAGCTTCTATCCCCACCCCATCCTAGGACTTGCCTTGTCTGGGGGAGCTGCAGCCCTAGCAGTTAGGTCAGGGGCTAGGGAATTTTCTCTCCATGTTGCCTTCTTAGCACAGGGACTCTGAGCATTCCAGAAATGCTAAAATCTAACTATCTGGACGGTGAGGGCAAAGGTTATTGAGACCATAGAGCTCTGAATCCATGAAACTATATAGTTTCATACTCTTTTTTGGGACCAGAGGATACTAAGATTGTGGCTTTATATTTTTATGTTGCTTCCTTTTTTTTTTTGGGTTGTTGATTTGTTTTGTTTTCTATCTAGAACTTCATGGCCAATAGAAGGGGAGAAATCTCGTCTTTCTAAAGCAGAGGTGGATCTAAATCCAGTGGTTTGAGACCCAGGCATAAATTGCGTAAAGCAGGTTAGTGTGACGCAGGAAATAGCTGGAGAGTGCATGACTTCCTAAAGGCTTTCTGATTCCAGCCTGCACACACACACTGGGCCTGCCACACAACATATCACCCCAGCAGCCCCAAATCAATTAGCGTCTTCTGCCCTGCAAGATAAGGTCCAAACTCTAGTCTGCTAGAGAAGACAGTTCACCAAACCAATGAAACTGCCCCTCTACAACAACTTACTTCTCCTGCCTCTTTTCCTTGCAATTTTCAGTAGTCTACAATCCCCTCTTCTATTTGCTATCTGACTCTTGCTCATCCTTTGAGTCTAGCTCAAACCCTAGCTCACCTGGGAAGCTTGTTCTAACTCAGAATGATGTCTCTTATCTGTGGGTCTCATATTCTCATATGGCATTTTGAGGCGGCCTGATAATGGTCACACCACTAAATACCCTGCTGATGGGGCGAGGGAGACTGAAATCTGGCTCCCATTCTGTTTCCTAGGCTACTGGTTCTGAGTGGGCTGTGGCTGTCTGGGACAGGGGAACCTCTTTTGCATTGCAAAATACAAGTAACAGGTAATCACCATAGCAACCATTTTAAAGTACATGATTCAGTGGCATTTGGTACACTCGCGATATTGTGCAAGTGTCATCACTATCTAGTTCCAGAACATTTTCATCATCCCAAAAGGAAACCTCATGCCTATTAAGCAGTCACTCCCCCGTTCTTGCCTTCCTGTAGTCCCCAGAAACCACAAACCTGATTTCTGTCTCCATGGATTTGGCTATTCAAGATATTTCATAGAAATGGCATCATACCATATATGGCCTTTTGTGTGTGACTTCTTTCACTTGGCATAATATTTTCAAGGTTCATTCATGTTGCAACATTTATTAGTGCTTCATTCTTTTTTATGGGTGAATGATATTCCCTTGTATGGATATGCCACATGTTTATCCATTCTTCAGTTGATGGACATTTGGGTTAGTTACAACTTTTGACTATTGCGAATAGTGTTGCTCCGAATATTCATGTACAAATTTTGTTTGAACGCCTGCTTTCAACTCTTTGGGGCATATTCCTAGGAGTGGAATTACTGGATCATATAGTAGTTCTATGTTTAATTTATTGAGGAACCACCACTGTTTCTCAAAGTGGACGCACCATTTTACATCCCTATGAGCAATGTATGAACATTCCAACCCCCACATCCTCATCAGCACTTGCTATTTTCCATTTTTTAAAAATTACAGCCATTCTAGTGGGTGTGAAGTGGTATTTGATTATGGTTTTGAGCTACATTTTCCCTGATGACTAATGTCATTTGAGCACCTTTTCATGTGCTTGTTGAGATTTTCTTTATCCTTGGAGAAATGTTTTATTCAGATCCTTTAGGGCACTTTTTTATTACTTGCTCAAAACACTGTATGGGATGCTGGTGACTGTGATATCCAATTAGACTACAGGCTCCTTGAGGGCAGGAATCATATTTTACTCAACTTCTTATTCAACCTTCAGGGAACCTGCTTTGAAAATACCTTTTTCTTACATACGATTTTACGATTTTCACAGTATTCTTGTGCATTCCCTCACTGGCCTCTTATGAAACTTAATAAAGTCAGTAAGGCAGATGTGTTTTTCCCCACCTCATTTGCCTCTTTCTTTGAGAAGCCATCTTGTATCCTCTTAATTTAGAGATGACGAACATTTAACAACTGAGAATTCACAGGCATTGACCAGTCAGAAGGGATAGTGTCTCTTAAACAACCAGTACTGCTGAATCAATCCTGCCTATCACTGAAATTGACCTGTACTTCTCTAGGCAACTATCACATTCTCTTCGTGTAGTGAGGCTGGAGGCTTTGCTAATTTGAATTATAAAAATTTAAGTACTTTGGCAAAAATATTAATAAATTTTATCATTGTACAAAACATTAGAAATTATGTGAATCATCTCCTTGCACCTGCAAAGAATAAACTTCCTCAATTGTCATATAATTTCAAAGCTGTTGATCTGAATGAATTGTAAGCTAGATTTAAGCCAGTGCAGTTTGGTGGGGGAATTTTATTGGGCCACTAAAATACCTACCATCCATTTTAAACATGAAAATCACTTTCGTGTGTATAGTTGGTTGGGGAGGGTGCTATGGAGCTGTTAGTTTAACATTGAGTCTTACTCAATTGATAATCATTTAAAAAATACTTCATAAGAGCCCTCTCAGCTTTGATGGCAACAATTACAAACTGAGACAAAGAATATTTTAATGGGGTTTTAAGACACAGGTAGCCTTTGACACTTACCTTAGGAGTAGCTTAAAATAGCATAAAGCTCTCAGAATGAAAAGGGATTTTAGAATATTATGTGCGACTTTATATACCAAGAACAGCAACACTGTTTATTTGAGCTGGCCTGTATTTCATAGTGACAACGTTTATCATTCTAAGGACAATTAGTACACAGGGCTGTGAAAAAAAAGTCATCTCAATGTTCATTGAGTGGTGGCCCTAGAGCTCAGAAAACATGCTCCAAAATAAATTAGAAATTATTTGGGATGAAAGAAGACCAAATGACAGCCAGGCAGTTAATTGAGGAGAGAGCACTCTGTGAACTATTAGATATAATGCTGCGAAAATTAATGTGCTATAATATGCTATAATGTTTATAGTTATTTGTCTACTGCGAATGTCACCACTCCATTCATACGTATTTCCATACAGAGACTGGCTGGAATATTATAGGTCTTACACTGTGCAAGGCCTTCAGGTCTGTGGGTGTGTACTCAGGCAGGCGCTTGGAGATGGGCCCATTCGTACCTTTACAGCAGCATGCACAGGGTTGGGGCTGCTGAGGGGGCCAACCCCCTGCTTCCCTGTGTCTGACTGGTTGCTGGACTGTGAGGCCGAGTCATTCCTGTCATTTTCTGAGCCAGAAGTAAGACCCTGAAATTCAAATGTTAGCATTATTAGGATGCAAGAGTAAAAACCGAGTGACTTAGAAATGATATAGTGGAGCCACCCTCCCCCGACACTCTTAGCTCTGCTGTCTTTACCCTGCCTTCACATCCAGGGACATATAAGACTAACTCCTCCAGGGGAAGGAGTCGTATACATAGTTTGTCCACAAATTGAGACACTTTTAAGAAAGAAAGAAGCTATTATTAATAATAGGTATAGAACCAACCTAGTCTAGACAAACCAGAACATCTGGCCACCCTGTGTGAAGATTCCACCCGTCTGTGACAAGGTCCACCTGTCAGACTTGATAATGGGATTAAAAAAGAAAGTAAGAGGAAGGAGTGGGTGTAGGAACTTTGGGGGAAAGCGGGACAACCAAAAAACTAGATGACAGAGCGTAAGCAGATAGAGGAAAAGTGTGTGTGTGTGTGTGTGTGTGTATCTCTGTGCACATATATATGTATGTGGCATTGTGCACATGTTCTCTGTATATCTAGATGTGTCTGTGAGTATGTATGTGTGCATGTGTACATGTATGCACATATGTGCATGTGTAGGCATAAGCATATGTATTTATGCATGCATATGTGCATGTGTTCTGTGTATACGTGTATGTGTCTCTGTGTACCTGTATGTACATGTAATGTATATGGGTGTATGTATATGTGTATGTGTCTGTGGTGTGTCTGTCTGTGTGTCTATGTATGTATATTTATGGATATTTTCATGCATGTGTGTATATGGAGGTATGTGTGTGTGCATATACTGTCATGAAAGACCTTTGTGTGAGGCATGTTTCTGTACGCAGAGGACTTGGAAGAAGGAGTGATTTGTCTCCTACATTCCTATGCTGTGACTTTGACAAAAAGGGGGAAGGGCTGCTCAGGATCTCCCCCTGGAGCTTCTCAATTCTTCCCTGAGCCCTGGCACCTGCAAAGGTCTACACTATGGGATCCTTTCCTTTCAGAACCTTCTTGTCCTTATCTGTTACATGGTGTTGCTGGGTGAAATGACAAAATAATCTTTGCATTTTGTCTGGCATTGCTCAGTGCTTATCCCCTTCTTCCCCTCTCTTGGGGTTAAGCAGAAAAGAGCTTATCTTCTCTTCAAATCATTCTTAAATCAGAAGCTGAGGAATTTACTGTCAGAATAATAGTACAAATGGTCTGATATACTGTTTGATGTTATCAAAGAAGTTTGGCTTCAGAGACCAGCTGTGGCATACAGGGGAAAGAAAAATGCTTTGATTATGAACTCTTGCACAATAGATGTATGAATATTTCAGCTCTGCTTTTTATGTCTCCTCTTTTTCTCCCATTCCACATTTTCTCCTTGGCAGCCTTAGCTTTGCTCCGATGCAATGGAGGAGGGCATGACAAAGACCAGTAAGTAGCACAGTTTCGGGAAACAGGGCCCTGGATGATAATTATCAAACTGTCCCTGCTATCTGTATGGTGCTTTACCATGTATAAAATGTTTTCAAATATAATATCTAATTTCAATCCATCGGATAATTCCCATGAGGCCAAGAGGAACAAACTCTGCCTAAAGGGAAGGGACTAAAGGCCTGGAGGGTTCTCTCCAGAGCTGGTATATAGGATAATCAGGGGTAGAAGACTCACATCTCACTGCCAGCAATGTGTCTCCTTCTCCTCATGTGTGGGCATCCACACGTGCATCCTCTTAGGACTCCACGAGTACCATCGTGCTGGCTGAGGAGACTGGTGTGTGGCATCTACAGGTGGATGCTCCAGGGGCTGGGAGGAGTCTGAATGTTTTTGGAGGCCCACAGAAACACAGACCCTCAGCCTCATGGAGCCTTAGTTCCTCCTCTGTGAGGATTAACATCAGTGATCCCTATCTGGAGGGGACTGTGATATCTAATAGAAAATGCCTGTAAAGTGTCGAGAGTTGGCCCCAGCACAGAGTGAGTACTTACTACATGACAGTGGCTGTTGTTAATACTCATTATTGTTCCTTATGAATGTGCTTTTAATAGTATTTGCAATATACATTCTTCACA